AACATTACATGCTCAACTAAGTTGATTGAATTGTCCTATTGAATGATTCTGGAATCGAACTATTGAATCTTAAAGACGATAATAGATGTCTTATCCACTTAAATTATGCTAAATTTGACTACAAATATAGATTATCATCGAGCTACTACGTCAGTAGAGCTAAAGTCAATTTAAAATCCCCAAGAAAAGAGCTAAATTTATAAATTACAAGCMTGCATCATCATCTCTTTTTCTGCAACGGCCGCATCGTCATCTGTTGCCTCTTGGAGAATTAAATAACTACCAGCAAAAGGAAAAATTAAAATCAGATAATTTATAGATAAGTTAAAATAATACATCAATTTCTCTGACAAGTAATTAAATTTCGCGACCAATTAATTAGAATTTCTCGTCCTCGGAAACAGTGGCAAATTTTGCAGAACTGCCTCCGGAGTCCAGTCATTTAGAATCACTCCCGATTCCATTTTCAAAAACTAAATAAATAATGGTAGCTTGGTCTAAGGTCTTCATAAAAATGACAAAATCTTGAAGATAATCTCTTGTGGTAGTGAGTGTCTTTGTCACAATATAAACAAAGAATAACATCACACCACGCCACAAACTACGTCGTTTCCTACAATATAATAATAAGGGACGTTCTGTGCGTGGAAATATAAAAACGAGGGAGGGGATTAAAGACGTCGTCGTTTGGTTGTTGGAAGTTTTCAAGCTGCCTAATATTTAATAATCTCTATCTTATTAACCTCAAGTTGAGAGTTGAGAGTTGAGAGAGAGCATTATGAATAAATTATATATAATATATGTAAATTATGCGTACAAACTTTGAAGCGTTGGACGTTTCCTGTTTGGGCGTTTTGCTGCTGTGCTTGTTCTTCGTACGGGATATTCTTTCTGGGCAGCATTTAATTTAATTTACACAAACAAATTAAAATTTCTTTTATATATGTGACTTGGATCTCTGTGTTTCTGAATTTTAGGCTGGAGAGATCATGTGTAAAACCACCCATTAATTGCATTTTTGTTCAAAACTATGAGCCCCCAGATTTGTCCAATTAGCCGTGACCATGGGGAGGTTTTGTCTAAGACTCTCTTTCTATACCTATTAATTACTTTTTTTTTTTTGAGAAAAATACCTATTAATTACTTAATGCATCTAATTTCATCTTTAGACCGTATATRAAAAGACTGATTGGATTTCGAGTCTCCCCATATACTTATGATCATGCTATGACATTATTACTCTACGTTTAAGTCTGCATCATTTTTTTTTTTAATTTTTTATAAAAGTCTGCATCATTCTTAAAAAGCTTCTAATAGTGAAGATTACGATAAATTATTTAAATAAAATATTATAAAAATAGTAGGATAATTGTGTTGGGTTTGTAAGGTGATTGCAAACAAAGTCACATGTTGGTTAGGGAAGAGAATGYTCATGGGTGTATAAGATAGGACAATCACATTGACTAGGGAAGGGAATGATAATGAGTGTATAAGATAGGACAATTATCTGCCAACATTTTTTTTATATCCACGAGTGTCTGACCCTACAACATTTGACGACGGGAAACACGTACCATAGGAATCACTAATTCCTAAGGTAGGTGGTCATGAGGTTTGCCTCTTAACACTAGTCCATTTGAACAAATAATTATTCTATAATAGTGTCTTAACCAATTCGATTTGACTACTTATAACTCCTAAAAAAAATGGATGATTTATAATTCTCGAACAAGTTATTTATTTATCTTTTGAGTAGATTGAAAAAGTTATATTTGTATATATATAGAAAAATGCTATATTTGTAATTGATTTTGGAAAAATACGTACTTACAAAAATTATGAAAAGGAAGTTATACCTTTCAAGTTTTTCCTTGTCCATATTCTAAGCGATGTGAAGATATGTTCGTGGGCTTCTACTAATAAAAATAATTTTCTTTTACTTCTATATTTAATATCTTTTTCTTAGACGTAATATTGATGTTAGTTTATTAAATTTAATTTATTTGTCGTTGAAGTCTAATGAATTAATTAACACTGCGACAACTTCATGCATGCGCATAATTTATCTTTATCTTTTTTTTTAATATAATTTTAGTATTTAATCAAATAATAAAAATAGTTGTGCAAGAAATTTGGAGACGCAGCTCAAAATAAATTATATATTTTATAAGATAATAAATAATTACTAAAAAAAAGTTTTGAGAGTTGGTTGTCAAGGGGCCAGCGTTTTGAATCACTGGCAAAAAAGTAGCTGCAGATTTTCAAAAAATGTCAACCAATTCTAACAAATCAGGACAGTTGCCTACCAAATACAAAGATAGTCAAAATTGAAAATATTGCCATTATTTTGAATTAAAAAAAAAGGGAAAAAAGAAAAGACAACTGTAATGAGCTATTTGTGCTGTGAAAGATGACTAAACAATCAAAGACGTTGGAAAACACTTCATATGGAGCCCTGTCTGAATTTGCTATAAAGAGGGTTCCTACTTCTTGGTGTTGAACGCATTGCATTTAGTTATATGCTATTAAAAACAACAATATTTCCCTTCTAAAAAAGAACAACAGTATTCTTTTACCCAACAATATATATTTACCTAGCATTGTGTGTCAAGACTTTTAAATTTTATCAATTTATATTATGCGCTCAAATAAAAGTGACTTAGTCAAATAATACCACCGACAAAAAGTTTGGGAGAATTAATGATTATAGGCATTTTTGTGGTGTTTATTTCAATTGGCTGTGTTAAAATGTTTTTGAAAAATATTTAAGGTGCTTATTACCCTTGAGAATTTCCCAAAGTTATTCATTTTTGGAAAACTGGAATATATATATATATATATATATACACACACACACACGTTTTTTTAATGTATTTCTCTCTTAAAACATTAATGATAATCAACAAAAACAAGTGCATTGTTCAATGTTTTCATTTAGACAATTCTTGCGTGTTGGTGCGTGCCGCACTCACGAGGGATTGTCTGTGATATACTGGAGGAAGGTGGGGATGACATCAAGTCCGCATGACTCGATTCTTGAATTTGTCCAATTTCTAAGTCGGTGACGGGAGTTTGACATCTGAGTGAGAGGTCAGACTAATCCAATTCATCTTGGTCTGATTCGAACGAACCTCGATCGAAATATTTACATGCGAGAGAGATCTCGTAAGTTTAATTTAGTTTTTTTAGGCTATATTTTGCATGTGACTTCATTTTAACTATTTTGTTGGTTAGGTTTGAAAATTTTGATAGCTTATTTTATAGTTTTCCTCTAAGAGGAGTGTTAATTTCTATCCTTGGTTAAAAGTCTAACGTTCAATTTAAGAAAATTAAAATAAAGTGAGAATTATCCAAAGCATCGAGATATTTTCCTAAAATTTTATTATTAGTTGAGCCGTTGGGTGAATTTCCCAATAAGTCTTCATTTGTTCTTTCAGCTTCTATATTTAAACTTCATCTGAAACTTTTGACTTTTTTTTTTTCTAAACCAAAAACTAAGCTTAGGTGACTTGAAATGGCGTTATAGGTTTATAGGCTGCTTGCTTTATAAGATGATGACTTAGAATTACAAAGAAAAAGGTCAAAAGAAAAAAAAAACAAAAAACTATTCACTAATTTATATATTAACTTGAAGAAAAAGAGGGACGAAATTGAAATTGACTCCAAATCCAACGACTATGAAGTAAAGATAGCCGCAACTTGCTAAATCTCCCATTAATATTTCTATATTACTATAAGTTTGAATTTGTACCYCTCATATTTCCCATTAATGTCTAGATTGATTGAACTATATTCTTGGTAGTTCAAATGTATTAAGCTTTTATTTTAATTATATGAAATTAATTGTCACGTTATGATAAAATGTAGGGCCGTAAAACTATTTTTTTGACAATATTTTTTTTATATATTTACCTAATTAATTGATAATTGGTCTAAGATTTTTTTATTGTAATTCAAAAATGGAAAAATTCAAACTCATGGTTTATTAAAATTACCAATATATATTGCCATATTGAAAAGCATTTTAAACCTAATCTCAAAATAAGAAGTCCTATGAATGACTTTGACGAATTAAATTATGATTAAATTGACATGATTCACTTAAAGTTAAACAATCTTTTTTTTTCCTTTTGATATCAAGTTAAACAACTTGGTGATTTAAACCTTTCAAAACTTTTCATTATTCCTATCGGTAAGTTTGAGCAAATAATCAATAAATTTGATTTTCCAACCATTATTAATCATATCACATATGTTTGAACTACATGTATGGAGATCATAATTTAATTTAAATCCCTGCCTATGGTTAAGCTAGCACTTTTGCCACTCTGCATTAGTCATTTGAATAATTAATAAAACTGATGCTGGTTCTCATGCCTTTTTCTCTGTGCCAAAAAGTGTAAAATCCACTCCACTTTTCAATTCCATAAGCTAATTAATCAAAAACATTCCAACATGAAAGAAAAAGATCCCATGAAACGTGTGATCTATTTCTAATTTTTGTTAAATAATTCATCAGTTGTTTCTTCTTTTAACAAAGTGCATCATAAAATATGATATTTAGATGATAAGAAAGGCAATATCTCTCTCTCATAAATTTTAATATTCGCATAGGTAAAAAAAAAAAAAAAGGGTAAATAACATTTCCCATTTTAGAGAGCAACTGACTATACCTTGAGTTTCTCAGGCTTTCGCTTTTTGCCCAGCAGCTAGGGTTTCAGAATTTCCCTACTGAGAATTCTCCTAATAAGGCATTTCAATTTTTTCTTGAACTAACTAAAATCAACCCTGAAAAAGAAAATTAGACCACGAAAATAATTTCTATTTTAAATCCATTTGACAAGAATTACACCCACACACAAAAGAAAAATGCATGCATGTTCTTCAATATAGTTGATGGACTAAATTTTCCACCACTTAAGAACACACAAACAAATCAAACATATTAAATCTCAACTATTATAATGATAAAAAGTCTTAAAGCTTTAAAAACTTTTTAGGGTTTACTTCTACAAAGCTGGAGCCTGACCTATTGGGTTATAATCATCATGTACATTGAGATTAATCTTAATCAATCTCATTAGAAACTATAGCTTTTGCTGCTCCAAATTATAAGACGAACCAATCATCAAATCATTAGCCACCGAGGAAGGATATAATAAAGGAGCAGAAATCAAAGAGCTCATCTCCCCCCAATCCAAATCGCTAATCAACCCACTATTACCATTCTTTGAAGAACCATCCTCTTCGTATAAAAACTGCATCCCGTCCTCGAACGACGCCGTATTGCTGTAAACGAGCTTCTCCAACTCTCCGACGTGGCAGCCCGGGATTCGCGGACCCGAACCCACATCCTCCACCGCAAGTTGAGCGGCGCCACCGGTTTGGCCATAAGGGAACTGAGAAGGGAATTGAAGCGGTTGGTGATCGGAAAATAATAATCTTCCGGCGGCGTGATGATGATCTTGGTAATTTGAGTACGGCGGCGGCGAATTTAGCGCCGGCGATAACTCCGGCAAGTAAGGCGATTGGTTGAAAGCGTGATTGTGATCGAAAACAATAGCCATGGAGTTTCCAATTTCGGTTTTGATTTTTCTTCCTCTTCTCACCAGCTGCTGTTGGTGGTGCTTCCCAAATAGTTTCTTCTTCAGCCTTGTGTTCCAATAATTCTTTATATCATTATCCGTTCGGCCAGGCAATTGAGCTGCAATAATCGACCACCTATTTCCATGTCGGATTTTTAATTTTAGTACTCATCATATAAAATTAAATTCTAAACCGTTCTAATTAAAATTATTGTATTCACCTGCTTCCAATGCTAACATAAAGGCTACAAATTATTCTATCTTCTTCCTCAGAGAAATCCCCATGCTTGATATTGGGACGAAGATAGTTCAACCACCTCAATCTACAGCTTTTCCCACATCTCTTAAGACCTAATAGTTACTCCGCAACAAAAAGAAAATAAGAAAATAAATCCATCTCATTCAAGTTTAAGCTAATGGGTAACAATATATTTTAAATTACCGATTTTTTGAGGCAGGGCGATCCAGTTGCCACCGGTGCCATGCTGCTCGATGTACGACTTGAGCTTCGCGTCTTCTTCGGGCGACCAGGGGCCCTTCTTCACGTTTGCTTTGTCACAGCAAGGAGCTCTTCCCATGGCGAATTGCAAAGTAGAGAAATTATGAGAGAGAGAGAGAGAGAGAGAGAGAGAGAGAGAGGGGAGGGGGGAGAGAGAGAGGGTTATAATAGGTATTAATGGGGGAAAACTCATGTGCCTGCTGAAAAAGCCATCGGGTTTTTAATTTTATTTTTAAATAAAAAGTGTATGGAGCAGAGAAAGTGTTATATATAGAGGAGGGCAAAGGATTTTCTTCTTGTCTGTTTTTTGCGTAGAATCATGGGGATTTATATAATGCAAAATATTGGGCTGTCTCTCTAAATAAACTTTCGTTGAGCTGTGTTTTTTTTTTTTAGTTCACTGATCCTCAGAATCTACTGGGGACATGCATACGATATATTATATAATTTGTGTATTTAATATTAAACCTCTCTGATTAGCATGTTTCTCATCCTTTTTAGGGTTGTACAGTATTTCCCACTCCCTTCCACATCAAATTCGACCAATGACTGAATGACACGACATTTTTTAAAAAGAAAAATTTGCAGGAAAAGTCATTAATTACAATATTATTTATGAAAAATTATTGAATGAAGGTTGCAGTGGGTTATTAATATAATTTAATTTAGTTTCCATAACACGTAATGTAAATTAGGAGCCACATTCTAGTGTATATATATTCTTTAAAAGATAACATTACACATATATAGTAAATATTCAAATATTTTATTTTTAAGAAAATTATCAATGTCCTAACTAGTTAAATTATACGGTCAAGTCGATTATATTTTGTAATAAGTACAAATTTGTATGATGGATAACGCAAATCATTTTAGAATATAAAAAGACCTTAAAATCAATAGAAAAATATACATCTTTGAATTTCACATCTTTACTCGTGAGAAACTTTCAAGTTACAATTAAATTTAGATTAAATTACACACCTATATCTTTTAATCTTTTAGTGAGAAGTCTATAAAATTTTAGAGATCTGTTATTTAATTATTTGACGGAATATAATCCATGAACTAACTACAAGATTGGCAATTTATACTCCATAAATAATTTAAATTCAATTACTAATTTCAACTGTATAAAAAAAATTAATTTAGGAATCTCTAGTACACTGGAATTTTAATTACTTGTATTATTTATTTTAGATTTCTCTAAAAAAATGAAATGATTTAAAACTCAAGTATATAAAGTGTATACGATGATATTTTTTTTTTTTTTGGTAAAAGATAGTTTTTTTTNGCATGCATGGGAATAAAAACAAACCGAACTTTGATTTGAAATATTGCATTGAAACGTAGAAAATTTTAACTTTTTAAGGGCAAAGGTCAAATCGATTTTTTTATTTTTATTTTTTTTGCGATGGAAATATCCTCAAGTGTCTAATCCAATCTCTCACTTTGATCGGTTTAGACCTTTCTTTATGGAAGATTCGAAAGTCTCATTTACCCCTTCCTGTTAGGTCACCAAGACGACCAAAATTGTTGATATATATGTACTTAATTTACATGCATTTTTTAAATTAAGCTCATAAACCAATTTTTTAAATTAAAATAATTGGAGCGTTATTTAGAATAATTATTACTTTTTTATGCCATAATCACCAAGAATATGAACATTAATACTCCCAATCTTCCTCAATTTTATAATCAAGGTTTTCATAATCCCTATGAGATGATCAATAAATTGGTATTTGCTCAGAGGCCTACGGCTCTATTGAAAAATTGATTGGTCCATAGTTTATTTTAAATTATAATATACTGATTAAATAACCTTTAATATAATTGTCCTCAATATACCAGTAGAGTAACGAACCTCCTATTAACCACATGGTGCATTGTTTTTTTTTTCAGTCAATAATAATGATTGTGTGTCATAGATTGTTAAAGGATGTTGAAATTTTGAGGATAAACCATAAAAATATCTTCCTGAAGACATATTTAATAAGAAGACCAAAGACTAATTATTTTTAGCAACTGTTGATCTAGAGAATTTCAACATCCAATAATCCTATGAAATTGATGGGTTTTTTTAGTACAATAATACGTGTAGTTATAGTTTAAACACGCGATCATGTTTAAATTTTCTATTTTTCGTTAATATTGTTGAATTCTGATTTGTGCACAGTACAGGATAATCAGTCTTTTTTAAATTTTGGAAAAAAAAAACTCTGCGCTGCCATAAATTTCAGGACAGTTTTATTATTATTATTTTTTATTAGTTTTATTTTTTCTTTTCAGAACACTCCATTTAATTGCAAAATCTGAAACCATCTATTATGAGTATAATGATTGTGTGCTCTCTGATTGGGGTTTTCAATAAGATGCCTAGAGGAAACTGCATTATCAAGTCGAGCCCACGGACAGCTGTATTTATTTATTTTTTTAACCGAATATATATGGTGTCTACAAAAAGTGATCATATCTTTTTAATTAAGTGACAAATTATATATAGATATATTAATTATTGGTAAAGTACCTAAGAAGAAAATTAATCCATATCTTTGTTAAAATATGAGCATTATGGTCGTTCACTTTATCAATCAAGAAACAAACGGGTAAAAGAAAAAACTTGTTTTTTATTTGTGAATATTTTATCACATCCCATCAGGGAAAAAAAAAAACAACAATAATTCTCTTCCTTGTTTGGCGGGATTATAAAGCATAACTTTTCATTCAGGAGGAAAAAATAATAATTTATTTTGTCGGAAGGAAAAAGAAATTAACAATCAGTGGATTGATTGATATCCAGGCATTAATTTTCTCTTATTATACAACACTCTTGAGAATTTTATTAATATTAATTTTGTAATTTCTATTTATATAGCATATTATTAATAAACATGAAGCCAAAAGGAAAATTCTTGCACTCTCAATTCTCACTGAGTATTATATCATTTGGCAATGTTAGAGTCTCACCTATCTTATTTCTTATTTTTGAGAAATATACATGTCGGTTAAATCTTCCTAAAATTGCATGTAAATTTTATATAAAAACAACAAAATCTAAATCTCTAAAATAAAAATAAAAATAAAAAGCATACTTATAAAATGTATAGTAAATGTTAAAAATTTATATATAATACATTTAAATGTTTTAATTTTAAAAATTATTTTCCATGTAAAATTTAACAGAATAGGAAAAAGAAAAGTTTTGTCAAAGACAATTTTATCAAGATTAATTTCTAAAGGTAGTGAATTTTTTTTTTCTTTTCTTTTTTGTTCTTTTCACAAAGTCAAAACACCAATATATTTTGAGAAAATAGACCTATAATTTTGTTTTTCCACACATGCGGTTAGGTCTAATTTATATTTTGTTGTCTTCATCATCACAGGTGGGCTACCAACCAAAAGTATGAGAGAGAGAGAGAGAGATTTGTGATGTTTCGTGTGATTCTTTTCTTTCTCATTGTCATTTTTCAAAAAATTTATACTGAAATTTTAAATTATAGCAATTGAAAATGTTATATATATATATACGTCTCGGTATATTATTTTATAGATTTTTTCTACTCTACTCAGTAAGTCTAATATTTAAAAGATTCATCATGATCAAATGTATATTTTTTTCCTGCATAATATAACCTTTTTTTCTTTTTTTATACTATAATTTACATCCCTTAACAAGACTTGCTCTATAATCCCGAAGAGAGACATAACTTGGATTGAAGAATGACCCGTAGCCCAATTGTTCCCATTATCAATATCAACTAGGATAAACCGATGTTATTAATTATTTACTAAGTATTTAACAATGATAAAATCAAGTTAATTTTTTTGTGCGATAAAAGTAGGACTCGCGTCTCTCTTTCCAATTTGTACTTTAAAAATAAAAAATGTTTAGCAAATATTGTACACATCTTATTATGTTTTCGGTTTACTTCTTTATTTGACAGAAGATAGAGTGGCCTGACTAATGTTTGTTACTCTTCCAAGAGTTATAATTCATCTAATAATTCATGATAACTAATTTTCTTAAGCTTAACTGGTTTAGACATCTATTTTTTACTAAAAGATTATGAATTTGAATCTCTACCATACAATTAGATGTATTATTAAAAAAATATCTTTTTTAATACATCAAATGAGTATAAAAATTGTAATTATTATATATATAGAGAGAGGTTTAAGGTTTCAATTATTCTCACCCACATTTATAATATTCCTTTTATACAAGGTTTGAGAGAATTTTTAGATGACCTTTATTTTTTTATAACATGTAAGAGTTGAGATTTGAACGTATGACTTTTTAGTTGAAGATAATTGAATTTTGTTTGGATTATTAAGATAAACCCTTATTTAATGTTTTGTTACAAGATACATGCACTTGAACAACAAACGATTTTACCCCAATCGTTCAACCCGACAAAATGAATGTGTACTTGAAATCAAATCCAGAAAAGTAAGACTGAGTCAATGGTTGGGGATTACTTGAAAAAAGGAAACAAGTTTGAAATATATATCTTTAAAAAATATATGAGAACTTAATCCCAAAATTATTTGATAGGGTTTTGAAATTTTCTATTAAGAAGGCGGGTTTTATGCCATGTAAGATCACAAAAATAGACGAATTTTCCCACTCTGTCAAGTGCTATGTCTCTTAAAATTGGATTTTAAAATTATGATTACATCAAATCCTTAATCATAAACGAGGCATTATATTAAAAAGTAGAAGCTTTTTTTCCTCGGTTTAAAAAATAATTGTAAGTGATAAAAAATCAACTTTACTTTAATTAATTGATATTATAATTAACTTAATTAATCTTTAAAGTCAATTACTAATGTATACTATTGCACTAAATTAAAAAGTAATTTATACAAAAATCCAAAATTTAGCCACCCACCTAAAATTCCCTTGTTTTTTTTTTCCTTCCTATCCAAAATTGAAGTTTTTGGGTGGTTGAGGGAATTGAAAGGGACCTCATCCAGACGACAGCAAGGTTAAATGTAACTTAGAATTATTTTTTCAATTCAAGTAGTTTTTAAATTAGGCACACCCATTCGACCAAGTTACAGTCAAGTTTGGTCTGCTTCTTTTCAGTATTAATAATGATGCATAGACCGTAGCTAAACTCAGGCCTAATTTCTCAAGAAAAAAATGACACCACAATTTATTGCAAGTTGTTTCCCAATTTTTTAATATTTAATAGTTTTTCCGCGGAAGTTTAAGATTTGTCTTGCCCTCTAATAATCATTTAGTGCAAGTTTTTAAAATTTAAATTTTCTTTCGTACAT